TTGGCTACTTATTTTACTTTTAATTTCATTTGAATTAGCATAAGGGAAATCGGGGGACCTATTGTTTGAACCCCTTAGGAGCTTTTGAAAAAAAATGTCTTTTTTTGCACTTAATGAAACAAAGTAGCCTATATTTTGTGGATGTACAGCTACATTTCTCATGTAAGTTTGCGTAGTTTTAACACAAACATTTATTTTTCATATTGCACCACTACAGTTAATGAGCAACCTGTACTTGTGTGCTTGTTTGTTCTGTCTAAAATGTTTATTTTGAAATAAAGAGGTTAATCTAAAAAAAATTTTTTGTCCGATTCATCGATTAATCTAAAAAATAATCGGCCGATTCATAGATTTTTAAAATAATCCTTAGTTGCAGCCCTAATCCAGAATACTTCAGAACCGTCCTGTAGAGACAGCATCCCCACGTACACTGGGATTCCACAACTAAAGCCTCTTTCACAGTGAAAATGGATGGGTTTGTTAACCCGGGTTAATGCGCTAACATTCAGCATTTGGCTCACTTTCCACAGGCAAAAAAGCTATCTAACCTCTCGCTTTAAAGCTCCATGGCCTCTGTCCCCCCCTGCCACTGCGTGTCTGATGAAAAGATCACGCTGTGTTAGCATTGATGATGTCACCAGTGCGAAAGAAATCAGGAAAGGAAACAATGTAGAGCAACATGGAAGAAAGCCAGGGTGTAGTCAGTGTGCTTTATTGTTTCCCTCTATTATCTGTCAGATTCCCTCTCACCAGAGCTGCTCCATGTTTATTCCATGTAAACAGTTGTTTTTGCTTATTAGATCAGAAGCGACTGGCGCGGTGTGCTGACATCTGTACGTTGCGTTCATAAGTATCACGTAAATTACCGGGTGGTGTTTGAATGGGCCTGTGGCAAAGGGGTATAAGTGGCCGGTCAAACTTGGATTGACAGATTTTTTTAGCTAGAAGATAAACTTTGCAATTAACAGGGTTCGTACGGGTGCTGGAAATCCTTGAAAATGCTTGAATGTTGACGTTGTGTTTTCAAGGTTTGAAAAGTGCTTATATTTTGGATGAAATGCTTGAAAATGCTTGAAATTGTAACTATATCTTTCGCAACAAATACCTATCTAACTGAATCATGTGTTTATTAAATGGAGAAATAAAAAGTTGGAGAGCCCGAAAAGGAAACCTGCTCCCTTATGTGTGACTGCGATCTGCCAGTCTATTTCCATGTGTGACTCCGCCCACTACTGCACCATGCCGGGAGGTTGTTGTTTCAATGAACGTTGGCTTTAAGATGAAAAATACAAATTATGGATTAAACGGGGACAAACCCCACGAGTTTCCTCTTGTAAAGTCTGCAAAAAAGATGTGCAGCTATTCACAATGGGCGAGTGTGCGCTCTCGAGTCACATGAAGGGTAAGTCATAGTCCAGGGGTGTCAAACAGGTTCCAGAAAGAGCCGTGTGGCTGCAGGCTTTCTTCCCAACCAAACAGTAGCACACCAGACTCCAGTCATCTCATCAAGTGAGTCCAGTCTTAACATGATGATTGGAGTCTGGTGTGCTATTGTTTGGTTGGAAAGAAAACATGCAGCCACACAGCCCTTTCTGGAACCAGTTTGACACCCCTGTCATAGACTTTTAAGTAAGCCAACTGAAGTGGCCTAGTACACGTTAACGTTAGTGCCTATTTGTTTACGCTAGTAACTGCTAGCTAGGAATTCACAGGCTAAGTTACTGAGTGACTGAGAGTACGGTGTGATAATGTAATG